AGGTGCGGGGTCTCAGTGGAGGGGGGGAGGGCGGTAGGGTGCAGAGTCTGGGCATAAGGTAAAGGGAGGACACTGACCTGCTTTCACACACCCCACTGCTCCCAGGTACCATGTAACACAGCCTCCCACTGCTCCCACTGGGCGGAAAGGGAGCAGCAGAATGAGGAGCCCCACGAGGCTCAGGGCTCCTTCTCCACAGCAGGAAGCCAGTGCTGGTGCTCCAACCTAAGGAGGGCTCAAGGTTGAAGTACCAGTGTGGGCTCCCTCCTGCGGGGGGATTAAGGATGGGCTGAGCTTGAGCTAGGGACCACCTGAAAGGTTTCCATGGACCACTAGTGGACTGCAGACCCCACTTTGAGAACCACTCAGAAACTTGCAATTCCTGTAAACTAGAGAGTATTTGGGAAGTCATTCAAGCCTCATACTCTCAGAGAATTCTTAAAATGATAACAGAACTGAATTTTCTGGATACAAGACTAATTGGCCTGTCATGAGAACTGGACGTTTTGTCATTAGGTGTTCCTTAGATACATAAGGAATGCACTTCTGCTACTGGTTTAAATTATAACCAACAAGATTTGTCTCACAGCTATCACATCTTGCACTGACCAGTACAATTTGTGGGTAAGTGATTAGGAGGGGAGAATGGGGAAACTAAAGATTCTTGAAAGATTCAGGCTATAAAATTAAATACATTTGTGAATTTCAGGCCATCTTCCTTTTGGAACACAATATGAGTTTTGTATGTGGGCAGGCTGCAGGTCTAGACCCAGCAGAGGTTACAGTAACATGTTACCCTAATGTAGTTAGTACCATTCATGCAACGGCATCTTGGAATCTATGGAAGATGACACATTCCTATTTGGTAAAAATGGGTTAAAGAATGAAGTCATACATCTGAAAATAAAAAATGACCCTGACTAATAATTTGATAATGCAAGCATAGCTTTCTATATAAGACACAGTTCCTCCCATAGAAGACTTGCTGGGCATATGAAATTGCCGACAGTTTGAGAGACCAAACGCCAAACTTGGCATTCAAACATGTTCTTTGTTATTCTGAGTGTTTACTAAGCAGCGGACATACAGTACCACACTGTGCCTTTCCCACATGCTCCTTCACACAATGTGACTGGTAGGGATGTAATCGCTTAGTTGATTAACTGATAAGCAAAAGCTTATAGGTGAATGCTATAGAATACATGCATTTCCCTGCCCCCTGCTCCACTGTGCCAGCAGATTTTCTAGCAGGCTGGCCAGCAGCCCAGCTCAGTCATACCTCGTGCTGGGTCTGGGACCTACCCCTGCTACGGCTCTGCATTTAAAGTGTATTAGCAGCTGGGCAGGCAGCTCGGCTAAAGCAACTAGTTACCTCTCTTTTGGGATGTGAACCTCAATAAGCAACATTCTTGCATTTTCTTAGTCTCCACTGAACAAAGGTAATGGAAATGGGGACAAAAGTGCTTCGTCTCCCTTTCTCCCTCCAAAACTGGCCAGCTAAATTAACAGGGTAAAGGGGCTGCCAACCCTTGAAACACCACGTACTGGCCACTGGCCTCATAGAAATGTGATTTTTCTTTTCAGTTCAATCCCAAGGATGTACACGCCAAATGCAGCATGCTGATCTGCACATGAGGGTCCACAATCCCATACAGTACTGTTATACCCATAGTTCATTTGGGGCCCTTATGTGCTGCTAAAAAGCTTTCCTTCTGTCTACTCAAACCCTTATTGCACATGGATCAGATTGGTTACACATCGAAGTCTGTAAAGAGAAAGTAAAATTAAGTTCTGGTAACCCTTGCTCATGTCTCATTTTCATTGCATAACACAATTTTGCCATTAGTGTTTTTCCATTTTCCATCTACTACCTATGGAAAAAAACTAGACTGGAAAATCTGTAGAGAGGAGTGGGACTGTTTGGTTGATGTTGCTTTTTAATTATACATCCATCATGCATTCCCCCAAACATTCCATTTATATCTCTTATTGAAAGTCAAGATTATAACATAGCATAAAAATATATGAAGAAGCTATTTTTTCAATAAAATTGACCCTTCTCGTGTCCATGTTCAGCAACGTGTGTGTCTAATTTTAAGCACTACATTTGACTTCAGAAGGATCACTTATACACTTGGTCCCGTGCTTACAGACTCATCAGGAATCAAGGCCTGCAGCAGAGCTAGTCTCTAGGCAGCCTCATTAGCACAGCTGGCCTGCAAAAGGTGCCTGACAGTCACCTGACTGAGGAGGTGCCTGACAGTCACCTGAATGTCTGGGGAGGCCAGCAGCCTGGTTCCTAAACCAGCAGCAGCAGCTTCCTGGCTTCTCAACACTCCTGCCTGCCCCATGCTACCTTGTCCCTGCTGCTCCTCCCTTATGCTCAGTCTTGCCTCTGGCCTGTCCCTGCCTGAGCCCCTCCTTGCCTGACACCCTGCTCACTCTGGCTCTTGACTACAGATTGACTTCCAGGCTCTGGTATCTAGTTCCTGACCTCCAGTTTTGATCCTAGCTCTGGTGACAGACTATACTCTGGCTTGGGTCACTAGGCTTGCTGCCCAATCTGCCCTGAAGGCTAGAGCAACCTCCTCCTGGTTGGCTGACAGTACCTTACTGAGCCAAGGCTTCCGTGCCCACCAAACAGAAGATAAAACCATTTACAGGGGGTCCCTGCTATAAGTCCAATATATATTCCAAAAACCTTGGACTTATAGTGAAACAACTGAAAGAGGGGAATATTTTTCCCTGCAGCTCACTTCTATTTAAGCAAATTGGGTTTTGCACAACTTATAGCAGGGAATGGGAGAACTTATAACGCATCAGTTCCTATAATTATCAACAACTTTAGCGTGGAATGGATGTATACAGGAGCGACTTACAGCGGGGACCCCCTGTATCAAGAAAATAGAACTGCCCTGTGTAATGAGCTCATCTTTTTGGTATATAAAGAGAGGCAAACACAAAGGAGATTTAGCCAAATTAGTAAAGCAGAAAAAATAGACATTTCTTTTCACAAGACGACAGAAAACATGGATGGCATTTCACAAGAGCCTCATGTGGCTCATATTTTCCTCAAAGGTCCCAGAGTAAAGAACCCTGTACTGAATATTATGATGTTCATAGAGAACCATTTTCAACTTCAATGAGTGACAATTATAAGAGAAAAACTTAAAACACAACAAATAGTCTAGTAGCACCTTAAAGACTAACAAAACATGTAGATGGTATCATGAGCTTTTGTGGGCACAGCCCACTTCTTCAGATGTAAGAAAATTACAGAAATCTGGACACAACACTCATCTGTTCCAATTCAACTTTTTCCCTTGTAAGTGGGATGGAAGATTGGTTGTATTCAGCAGATTACACATTGGCCCAGTCTAATGCAGTGGGGGAGTCCTCCACTTCCTCATTACTCTGTTAATCTGTCACTATGTACAATACAACCAAACACAGGAAAGCTATTCAATAAGTGATTTAATCAATAACCTGCATGTTTGTGAGGATGCTGCAGACTCCGCTGGGCTTGTGGACTGTTTCCCTGTTGCAAGAAAAGCGCTGCTCCTTTCACCATGAAAAAGCTCTCACTTAAGCTGGAAAACAAAAGTCACAGGAAATCAACCCAAGGAAAACATCAGCAAAACACTCAGGGTCAGGATACATTTAGATGGAAAGTCTCAAGCTTCAGACATTACAGGACATTGCTGTAACAATGTACATTTCCCAAGTCTGACGTAGCATCCCTGCAACTGTACTACTCAAAAGCTTTGGAGTTATTTTTGGAGGGTATATGATTTTTCAACAGGCTTACAGTGCTTGGTCACTACAGGCGTTATTTCCATGAGCTCTTACTAGGGATGTAAAAGGTTAACTGGTTAACCAGTAAGTCTCACCCAACAGGATCACCAGTAGGGGCTAGAGCAGCTTCCCGCCTGCCCAGGGCAGGGGCCTGCTCCAGCCCCAAGCTTTGGAGTTATTTTTGGAGGGTATATGATTTTTCAACAGGCTTACAGTGCTTGGTCACTACAGGCGTTATTTCCATGAGCTCTTACTAGGGATGTAAAAGGTTAACTGGTTAACCAGTAAGTCTCACCCAACAGGATCACCAGTAGGGGCTAGAGCAGCTTCCCGCCTGCCCAGGGCAGGGGCCTGCTCCAGCCCCACAGAGGTAGAGCCAGCTGCAGAGCCCATAGTGAAGCCTCCTCTCCAGGACAGCAAAGCCTCTTCCCTAGGAGCAGGACAGCAAGGGCTGCGACCAGCCCCACTCCCGGAGAGGCTTTATGCTTTATATCACAGAATCTGCAGTGCGTGTAACAGCTGGGGTTTTTAGCTGTTACATGGTTACATTTTTAACCACATTTTTACATCCCTAGCTCTTACAGAGCTGGAAGTAAACTTACATATACACATCATTTGATTATGAAACTCTACAACTTAAAAAACAGCAACTGTTAAAATTCTGCCACAACCAGTAATGTAAAGCACTGAATCAGTCAGTTCTTAGTACACACTTCTTAGGAATGGGGAAATTAAAAACCAATAAAACTGAAATTATACATTTTTTTAGGTTATACAAGGGCAAAAAAAATCCATTCTAAATGAAAACAGTACAAGTCATGCAAAACTGCTTGGAGACCTTGAAATCCATGCAACAGTAAAGAATGGTTTTTTTGCTCTTAGTGTGCCTCATCCTGTAGTCCTCATGCATGTGAAGTTTCTTCTGGCGGTAGGCCAGGCCCCAGTAGGTACAAAGATATGAGCGCATTTCCCCAAAGTTGAGAGGAACATGGCTCAGAGCATTCGTAACAAAATCATCTGTTACAGTAAATGGCAGCAAGTCTAATTACACATTAGCAGGATGTAACGAGCATTTGCCATTGATGAGCATTTGCCATTTATATCAATGACCATTTTTAAAGTTAGCATTTCCCACAACAATGAAAAGCAATATCTACTAAACTGGTTTTTTGGTTACCACAGATACTGCTTACATAGTATTTCTTCTAAAGATTGAGACATCAAGTAATGATCTTTACAAGACAGGCCCTTCACTTTAGACCCAAATTTGCCTCTGTCTCATACCACAGAACTCTGGGATCTCATCTTTATTACTGTCAATTATCTGCTAAGCTAAAACACTGCTTTATGAGACTGTGGCTGAAGGAAATTATTTACATTAGTGAAATCAACCCCACTTGGGTCAAAGCGCCCTGCACTATCTGCACTATTTTTCCCTTGGCCTCATTTCAAGTTTTTGTCCCTAGGGAGGAGCTCACACTCTATTGCTCAATTCTAAGCAAAAATGTCCTAGTGAAAAACATGGAATTGTAGCATTCCACATCTCCCCTCCCAGGGAATAGAGCTCCCCACACTAGTTCAATAAGGTCAGGTTTAAAGATACACTTTTGAGTGGTCTGAAAAATAGCCAAAATTCTGTCACTCAGACCTGTAAGAACCTTGCAACGTGGCTGCGCTCTGGGAACTAACTGAAAACAGCACTTCCACATTTACTCTCTCTCAATAGTACACTACCAGAAGGAGATTCTGCAACTGAAAGTTAGTTAATTCCATTCATCATGCATGCACCACATAAGAATCCAGCTACCTTCTGCCATAACTGTGCTGGCTCTGCTGTACTAATGGGAGAATAAAGCAGCAAAAAGAATAGAGAGGTATATAAGAAAAGCATCACTAACATGAACAGCTTTGACTTCTAAATACATTCTGGAAGCAGATCTGCTGAGAAAGGTACCACCTGTTAATCATGTTACTGCAACTCAGCCTTCTCCAGCTTAGGGCTGTAAAGTCCTGGTTAATCAATTAACCTGTTAAATGATTAAGCAGAATCCCAGATGGAATCGTTCCAGTCCAGCTGGAGCAGCCCCCAACCCAGAGGGCTGCTGGCTCCTGCCCTCACCCCTGCTGTGCAGAGCTGCCACGTGCCTGGCTCCCAACCTGCACAGGCCTGGAGCAGCCCTCTGCCCCCAGCAGGCAGGGGGCTGCTCCCAGGCACCAGTTACTTGTTCACAGCCCTACTCCAGTTGTACATAAGAAGAAAGAACAGTTAAAATAACCCACAGCTAAATACAAAGACTTATTGTCTTGAGAAACTTGTCAAATAATCCAACTCCTTTACATTTCCCTTTGAAAAATGGGAAACGAGCACAGTACAATACACTTCCCCGATCAAACAATGGATGTGAAATCTCTTTCTGAGACAAAAATGAAGCGATGAACACAGGACTTTTCCCCACATTAGTAATTGTAGCTGTGGTGGGTCATCTTTGTGACATTTCCCTCTGCTGTAGTAATGGCAATCAACACATCTCTTATGATAAGGAGGAGAATTTCCAGTTACAGGGCAACGAGAATGTTGTATTATCTAATGCTTATGAGATCATCCCATGTTTCGGGACCAGCATGAAGTCCCACTAAAAGGGCAAACCGCCTGAGATTATTTCTGTGGCATTGTATTCATCTATATGAAAATGACGGTGGAGAAGTCAAACAACTCATTGAATTCAACAGATAATTTAAAGAAAAAAAATTACGCACATTTCCCGGATGGTGGCCCCAGCCTAATAAAAGGCAGCTCTCTACCACTGTCCACTCTCATGTCCCCACATGGATTTCAAATATCCAGTAATCCAGTATATAAGCATGTCAAAGCTCCTCTTTGTGACAACACTTATTTTAGGAGTTTATTAAAATGCAAATGCTGCCCAATGCTGTACCAAAGATATACTCCAAGAACATAGGCTTCCCACACAAGAGGTTTTTCTGTACTTTCTAACATGTCATGCAACTGTTCTAAAATAGTTAACAAATAGAAACAAAACAAAACTGTACATTCCAACTCATTTCTATATTGCTTCTTAAAAAGGAGCACACTTCTTAAACATGTTATTTTGGTAATAGCAACAAAACTCCTTTCCGGACTTCAGTTAACATTATTTCTACCAGACTTAGAGGTTTTTTTAGGCGTTTCTGTAAAATATATTGTTAAAAATACACACAAAACAATACCCACCGCCATGACACAACAAACCCTAACCTGCTGAGCCTAGTAAGCAACATTTGGTAGCAGAATAAAAAACAAGTGACATGTACATACTAATTCAGGTTTGGTTTCTTTGAACAGCAGAAGCATTGTGCTGGCTCAAGAGACAGGCAGAAGTCAGTAAAACCAAAAAGATTCATAACCAACTGTTCAACTCACATTCTTTTTATTCTAAACCCGAAAAAGAAAAAGAAAAAGAAAAAGAAAAAGAAAGAAAGAAAGAAAGAAAGAAAGAAAGAAAGAAAGAAAGAAAGAAAGAAAGAAAGAAAGAAAGACCGCATATTCTGGGAGAAGCAGAGAAATCTCTTGTCCGTTGATGCTACCCAGGAACTGGATGATATTTTGAGAACACTGTGTCTTCCACTGATATCCTGGCTTGAAAAAGCACTTGTCCTAACATATCCTGATGAAAGAGGTCCATTCAAAGGGGAAAAAACAGCTGAAGCTTGTTTAATCATTTCCCTCCTACAGACTTTTTTTTTCCCCTCTTGAACACTCTGGAAGTAACAGCACATATCAGAAAATGCAAAGCAAAACAGCTGGCCTCCAAATAATGCCAAATTAATTTGGACATCACTAGCTAAAAAGTGTCACACTGACTAATGACTATTTGTTTTTAATATCTAATGTTGCATACCAATACAGCAATATTGCTATAAGAAAAGCATCAGATATAAACTTTAAGTCTTTTATCACTTACAGTATCACTACCAAAGTTTGTTTCGTTCTTTTACACAGTGACACATAAGTAACAGAGATACTAGTAAAACAAAGTCTTCACACAGCTAAGTATTGTTTGTGCAAAAGTTGTTCACAACCATAGTTACTGGCGAAAGCTTCTTACAAAGCCTTGATGAATTGTCCAACGTTTACTACAGGCATGAACCATAATCACATGCTTCTACCTGGCAAGTACCACTGGGCTAAGCAAAGAAGAAGCTGTTCTGTGTATTTTTTTGCCCTGCCAGTCCCTCTCAATTAGCAAATACACCAGATAAAAAACAAAACCATCTTCTTCATTCCCAACAAATTCTCACCAATTCTGTGCTTTTCCAAGCCCTGGACTAAATGCAATGCTGAGGTTATCTCACAGTCCAAGTGATATTTGAGGGGCAGGAAGGGTTTTGAGGGCATCAGGAAATTTGGTCTCTATACCCAGCTGTCACTGACTTCCAGCCTGTGACCTTAGGAAATTCACTCATTCCTCTAGATCTCAACTTCCTGGTCAGTTATTGTGGGATAAGAACATGACTGCTCACAGAGCTGCAAGGCAGCATTCACTAGTGTCTGTACCATGCTTTGAGAGCCTCTCGATGAAGGTTCTATCATGTATTACAACTAATAACCTTCTCTGTCAGGGGAGGGTTCTCGAGCCCCCACAACAAAGAACCTAGTGACACAGTGACCCAATATGCTGTTCTAAAGTCATAATAGGGCAAATCCAGAGTAATTTCTGAGAGTTCAAGTCAGCAGGGGAAGCAGCAAAAGCTTATTGGATAGTTGACTAGCCCTCTATCAGAGGCAGCATGTGGGAGGGAGCAGGAGCCAGTGCTGGGGGGAGCTACCTTAAAAGCTGGTTCTCCCCAGCACCATCTCCACGGGAGTCAAAGAGGTAACGGGGACCAGGCATGAGCTGGGAATCAGCTGATTTCCAGCTTGTGCCCAGTCCCAGACACTGTGCCTCTGCCTTTTAAATGTATTAAGTGCTAGCAGCCGCTTAATACATTTAAAAGGCTGGTGTGCAGAGGGGGGACGTGGTGCAAGCCAGGACAGCTGATTCCCAGCTAGAGCCAGGTCCCTGTTGCGCTCCAGCTTTTTTACATTTAAGGCTGGTGCACAGCAGGAGAACCTAGCAGGAGTTGGAAATCAAGTGTTCTAGCTTGCGCCAAGTCTCCCCGCTGCACACCAGCCTTTTAACCCCACTGCATCTTCCCTGCTTATCGACTAGTAGATGGAAAATCCATCAACTAATCAATTATGAACTTTCAATAATGAAATTTAACATCCCTACCTGGGGTATTTCAGTTCTCTGCTTCTTAATGGGAAAGCGTGCATTGTGGTAATGGCTGCTACATCACAACACTGCCTCTTCAAACTCACATTTATCCAACTCCTTCCATCTCAGAGTAAATGACCATACTCACTGCAGAGGTCATTCATTCTCAAAGGAGTGGCCCTTCCAGAGTAGAAAGCAGGAGGTCCTTAACAGTTTAGGACAGGAGGTAGAAAAACATATCTCATTTAAACTGCAAAAGGAATTTAAGAACATAATCACTAGAGTTTACATTTTTCTAGGATCTCTCAACACTTGCTAAAAGTGTCATGAGATCCTTAAACCACATAATGTTCAGGAACTGTTATTAAGTTTCACTCCAATAACACATGTTTAGCACCACAGAGCCTCCTGGGGCATGATGAACTTATCACTGCATTTGTGGCTGATCCCATCTGATGAATACATTGAGGGTGGCAGGATTCAGATTCAGTTACTCAGAATTGTAATACAAACAAATATGTAATGCAGAGAAGCAAGTGTCGGGAAGACAAACTTACAGCAATACAATTTCTGCTTCTTCAGCCAAGAGGACAATTAAAGTGCACTGACTGCTTTCTTTGGCTTGATAGGAGATACATCACCTGACACTTCCTGGACAAGATATGAGTCTTTGGATAGGGTTTTATGTGATATAGCAGAGTTGGTGGAAAATTAACTTTATAGCTACTCGTTTAAATGTTCCTGTAAAATCTGTGAAATAGAAATTAGAACCCTTTAAAGCAACTGTACTTGCCCTACTTTTAACTAAGCACATCATGCATTTTAAATATTTATTTACTCTGTGTAACACATACCATCACCTCAGTTGTACAGAAAGCCTGGCATGCTCAGTAAAATAAAATAAAATAAAATGGAGTCTCTTTTATAGAGCTAGTTGATAGCACTGTTGTTCCCACTTACTGCATAAATACAACAATGTAATATAGACAGATCCAGTCTCTAGTGATCTGTACCGCCATGCTAAAGGCCTGGCTAAAGCTCCTGGGCCAGAAAAAAAGGGATTGTTCAAGGGACTGAATTCAATGTATGTTTTATCCTTCACAAGTGAAATTCTACTGCAGAAACACAGATGTGTGTTAACACACCGCCATGGTGCCAAATACAGGCACACTGTTTAGGGTTCTGAGCATTACACGACAAAGGCCAATTGCCTGCACACAGAAGCACTTTTGCCAGAGCTCCTACTAGAGGGCACTCTGAACATTCAGCCCTACATTTAAAGAGCGGCCCATATCTTGGATGCCCAACCTGATACATCTAAGGCCTGATTTTCAGAGGCGCTGAGTACTTACACTCTGCAGTCTGTGGAAGCTGCCCATGCTCAGCACCACTAAAAAAAACCCAGAACCTACATGTCTTAAATCAAGTATCTAGAAACCCAAGCACCTGAAATGAGGGGATATTTTGAAAACATGTCTGTGCTTTATTATCCGCTCCTGAAAGGGTAAAATTCTTCCCATCTCTTCGGCTGAATTGGGGATTGCTAAAGCAAGTCATACTCAGACTGCCTAAGATGAAGGGACCTAAGGTGTGAGGGATGCTCCAAAGGAAGCCCTGCCGCAAACAGAACCCTCTCATCTTAAAAGGCAGTGGGTCTGGACATACACAAACTTGGCCACATTCATGCAATAGCAAAGGGTTCTTCTAAGAGATGGACAATTCTGTACCCCACAATCTAGTATGCGAGGGGAACAGCAGTGCTTCCCTGGCACCACCATCAGCAGCTCACATCAGATAATGCAAGAAAATGCCAGCTCTCTGGTGTGTTTCAAGTCAAAAAGAGGGCTAGTGGTGAGCAAGAAATCCTGGCAAGTTTTTCTCTGAATGTTTTTGACACTCCAGCAACAAAAGGAGATTCTGAGCCTGTACTGTTTGGCTGAAAGGCGTAGGCTGCATTCACAGCATAAGAATGCTAAGAAGCATTTCAGACACTGTAGGCCATTCACAGCACCAGATACAAACTTTCCTTCGGCACAAAGGGGGAAAAGAAAAATGAAACCAGTCATTAAACCCACCAAAGCTTATTCTCCATTATAAATGGACCTACAGTAATATGTGCTGTGAGCTGGCCCAGTGCGCCTTGAGACTGCCACATCATGTTTCACATACTCATCCCAAGTTCAACCGCAGATGCCAGAGCCACTGGAGGGGGAAGAGCAAAGAAACACATTTACCCCAGTGCTAAAGTGCCACCATTTGGAGCCAAGTAATGTGTCTCATGCAGTCAGTCAGTCTGTCCATTATGGATACAAAGGAATAGGGATTGCATTTTTAAAAGCACCTAAATCCCATTTTTAAAAATACCATAGTCACTTCAGAGCCTGATTTCCAGAGACTTATGGAATTTCTGCACTTCAGTTAGACACCCGTGCTGGCCTTTGCTAGCTGACTCCAAGTCACAGAGCTGGAGCCCAAGGGACAATTTAACTTAGGGATGTCAATGGTTAACTGGTTAACCAGTAAGCTTCACCCTTACTGGTTGATGCTTACCAGTTACAATTAACCTGCAGCCCAGCCAGGCTGAAGCAGGCCCTGCCTGCAGTGTGCCCAGCCTGGCCAAAGCAGCCCACCCCACCATAAGAGGGGGACACTCCAGCCCAGACAGTCACCAGCCCACCTCCCTTTAAGCAGTTAAATGTTATGTTAGGTTAACTGATTCAATGGCATTTTACAGACCTATTTTAACTGCAGTGTAGCATGGGCTCAGTCTAGCACCCTGACTCTACGTACTTGCGAGACTGGAGTGTCCCAAAGCTTGAACATCTACAGCGCAATTAAACAGCCCCATGAATCTGACTCAGGGCACCTAACTGCAGTGTAGACACACCCAATGGCGCATCAGGCTCTTCTAAAAATTGGGCTTAAACTATTTTGAAAATTTAAACCTGTTTTTTAAATGGCAGCAAGAAGATCGCGCATCAGCTGAGCAGTGTATTATTTCAGCAACATCCTCCTCCCTGCCCCCCTCCCTCACACACACCCCCTGCAAACTCTGCCAAGATTGGCTTCTCGAGATTTCCCTGGCAGCATATTCGCTTACTCCCCTGGCTGCTCCTTCCTTTCCCATCTCTCTCAGTCTCTGGTGTGACCTTCCCAACTCTGTTCTGGACTCTTTCATGTGTGCTACCCCACTGATTTGGAGATCTCTGGAAATTTTTCATCATCTTCTTGGACACAGCTCCCTTCACTATTTAGGAAACAAGTGACTGCTGGCAAAGCACATCCTGACCAGCAAGTTGAGATGCTCACAATACATTGCAGTTATCCAACATCCATCACTGAAGATGGCAACAGGATTCACGCATGTTAGGCCTCACAATGCTGCCATAAAATGAGGTCACCACCATTCCATAGAGGAGTCAAGCAACGCATACTGGCAGTTTATAAACTGGCCAAGACCATGCAGCAAGTCAGTTACACAGCAGGGACCTGAACCCAGGAGACATCACAACCCTCTATTAATAGGCAATACCCTGGCTTGTTTAAGGCCATACATGTGGCACTGCACTGACAATGTCATTCACCCACTCAGCATATTCCCTCACTGGCCTTCCAGTGCCTTCTACACCATATTCAGACTCATGACTGTTCCCTCCAAGACCCTCCATAGTTTATCTTCTTCCACTTCCTCCACATCCCCACTCATTCCAAGCACCTCA